TTTCAAATCTCTCTCTCTCTCGCTCTCTCTCTCCCCTCACTCCTGGTTTCACTTCCTGTTTATGCTATCACCTTCTCTTTGGATTCAGTTAGGTTGGCCCCTCCTCAAATACTTTGGTTTTATTTGTATTATTTTTATTTTGACTTCATTCTGCCTCTCCTTGATTTTATTTTAATTAATTTACCTTTGTTTAGCTTGAATGTACCAATTCAGCTAAGTTGATTTTAATTAAATCTGAAATGTAATTAAATCAATTTATTTATTTTTCATTTTAGTTTCCTACAGCTATTAGGACCTTTTCATTTAACTTTTACCTTATTTAGTTTGTTTGACCATCACCATCTTCCCTCTCGGTATAAGGATTATAGCAGTTCTAGCAGCTGTTGTATTCTTAATGAGCCGTACAGGTTATTAGTAGCCCTAATTCCTGTCTCTGCTATACCCATACTTCTCAGCACGAGGCCTATTACATAAGGTACAGTTACCATTCATTATGCTATAGGCCCTGAGAAGACTAGAAACACGTTCAATTGTTTCTGTTTATATACCTTGAGGTGTTTGATGTATCCCTGCTAGCTTAGCTAACAGTCTCCCTAGGTTTATTGTGACCCTGCTGCAGCATCCCTTTGAACAAGTACGTGACAACTGCTTAGTCATATCTCCTAGCTTAAACTAAATAAGGAAAGCCCTTCCTTCTCCCTCTGTCTCTTTCTGATTTTATTTCAGTTTTGTTTTATTTGATACCTTCATAGTGACCAAACATGTGAACCATCAGTGCTTTGAGTAATAGTTTGACCACATGTATAGCCCTGCTTACAACCCCATCAACAAAGTTACTCAAACTCTCTCTTTGTGTTCACGAACACAAAAACATAGCACCCTACCTTACTAGCTGCCCCTCACTGGCTATTCACACCTTACATGGCCTACACAGCCATCCCCATGCAGATAGCTTAACACCTCTGTACGTACTTGCATTTGCCTTCTGCCTTACCGAGAGCAGCTTGAAAAAGCCACCAGACAGGATTTGGAAAGAGAACTGTTTCACACAAAATCACTGTTAAAAACAGCGTATGTGGAACTTAATGAGAGAGACACCAGAGTGAAGGCCTTAGAAGGCCATCTGCATGCAGCCAGAGCTGAAGTCCAAACCCTGACTCAGCAATTCTGCAACATTAAAGAGGAGCTTGACATGGTCCAGAAAGAACTGAAACAGTCCTACAGACTGTGCATGGACTCAAGTAAAAGTCACCCTGCTGCACATCACACTGCCAGCAGTGTAAACCCCCTCACCCCTGTACACAGATAAAAGGGGGGGAGCCAAAGCCTTCTGCTTGACACTTCACAAGTCAGTTTCCTGGAAACCTCTGCAGCCGCAGAAGGAAAATTATAAATTCAGACAAAGTCTGAAATGACACATAGAGTGACACTCAAAGACCTCAACCGAATGGGCAGAAACATCCCTGCATTCACACCAGAACTGGCAGGAGACCACGATGTCCACACCTACCTGCGAGATATTGACTTTTACCTGCAGTCTTGGACCAGTGTGAACCACCAAGATAGACTCTATCTGCTCTGGATCACTTCTAGCCCATAGGTGCGACGCTTCATGGCTCGACAGCCAGGACCCATCCAATCAGACTACCAGCGGCTCAAATAAGCCATCATAAAGGAATTCTCAGACCCAGAGTCTGAACACGGACTGATCGCTGCCCTAGACACCAAACAGGGCCGGCATGAAACTCCCCATGCTTACTACCACAGACTTCGACAAGCTTACTTCGGAGCTCGCAATTACCCTGGGTTGGAGGAGGACACCAGCTTCAAGAGTCTTTTCCTCCGAAACCTCCATCCTATTGTAAGTCACCATTTAGGCATTATGGCCTGCCGCACAATGCCTATTCAACAGCTGCGTAACCTGACACAGAGCTGCTGACACTAGCAAAAGAGCTCCTTGAACAAAACTCAACTGAGGAGTACTGGGAAGGACAAACTTCTGACTCCTTGCCTGACGCAACACAGCATCAGACCCCTCCAAGGGAGGAGCATCCCTTAAAACCGGTCGAAACCCCAGAAGCAGCCAGATAACGTTGGATGGAGCAATGGGCCCACATGCCCAACAGCAAAACCTCTACCAACACAACTCAGGCAAGCTCAAGTCGGTGCCACCACAAGAGCAAAGTGACACAGCAAACATCAGATTTCTAGTGATGTTCGAGCAAAACCAAGGGCTAACAACCACCTGCTGCACTCCTGCCACCATCACTAAGTCAATCTGAAACTCTGCACACTACAAAATCTCCATAATTCCCTGCGACCACAGGAACCACCTGCACTCTCACCAGTGAGAGTCCAACCCGGCTGTTCCTCACCAAGGGTACCACGGATACAAAATATTTTATGTGTGTTTTTCAAGTCATCTTCAGGTAGGCTAATAAAAAGCATCTGAATAATGCAGTGCTAATTGACATAGGATTTATTATAGCTAGCTATAGAAACTAGAAAATATATGAAATATAAAAATGAAATGAAGTGTGGCACCCCATACTCAGAATTTGTGCTCTGCATTTAACCCATCCAAGTGCACACACACACATTAGTGAACTCACACACCCGGAGCAGCGGGCAGCCATATTGCTGCGGCACCCGGGGAGGAGTTGGGGTTTCGGTGCCTTGCTCAAGGGTCTCAGCTCAGTCGTGGTATTGAGGATGGAAGAGAGTGCTGGTCATTTACTCCCCTCAACGACAATTCCTGCTGGACCTGATACTCGAACCCGCAACCTTCAGGTTACAAGTCCGACTCTCTAACCATTAGGCCATGACTGCCACAGAAAAGGAAAAAAGGAAAAGGTGTTTGTATATAAACAAATCATAAAATTGTCATTAGAAAAATATAGAAAAAAATTATAGAAAAAAAAATAATAGAATACAAATTATTGGTTATTGTCCAGCAGTGTATTTGATTTCTCAGCCAATTAAAAGCAAGAGATAGGATAATAATAATAATAATAATAATAATAATAATAATAATAATAATAATAATAATAATAATAATAATAATAATAATAATAATAATAATAATAAAGTTGCCAATTAGACCAAAAAAAGGTATTATTATATTTGACATTTCTGTCCTCCTCACTTCTGAAATGATGGCTACCACCCCTGTGTCAGGGCTCGAAACTACCATTTGATTTACTCCCCTCAACGACAATTCCTGCTGGACCTGATACTCGAACCCGCAACCTTCAGGTTACAAGTCCGACTCTCTAACCATTAGGCCATGACTGCCACAGAAAAGGAAAAAAGGAAAAGGTGTTTGTATATAAACAAATCATAAAATTGTCATTAGAAAAATATAGAAAAAAATTATAGAAAAAAAAATAATAGAATACAAATTATTGGTTATTGTCCAGCAGTGTATTTGATTTCTCAGCCAATTAAAAGCAAGAGATAGGATAATAATAATAATAATAATAATAATAATAATAATAATAAAGTTGCCAATTAGACCAAAAAAAGGTATTATTATATTTGACATTTCTGTCCTCCTCACTTCTGAAATGATGGCTACCACCCCTGTGTCAGGGCTCGAAACTACCATTTGCCTGTCACTGTATGTCATGGGAGAAACAGTCAGTCACACATAGGAATAGAGCTGCACAATTCTGGATAAATTGACAATCACAATTTTTTTGTTGTTTCAAATAGAGATCATGATTCTCCCACGATTCTAAACAGACAACTAAACAAAAGAGCATGTCATTTACTAGAGGTTCTGAGAAAACATTAATTACTGCAGTTTATTTATTTATTTATTTTTGAATTATTTATTGCAAAATCTGCACCTCTTCAGTGGCTAATATTAATTTCATAATGATCCATATTCTGTGCAGTTAAGCAGCAGAAGTTAAGTGACAGTGTGCAAATACTACAGGCACATTTCAGGGTGAACTAAATATGCAAGACTAGTTTGACATTTTATAACGTCAATAATGCAGGTTTATAATGCAGGGCGTACATCCTTTGCTGGGATGGGGGAATAAATTAAGAGTATACCCACTTCTCAAGGAACCACTAAACCACTGGTCCAAATCAGTCCTTCATCTCACACACGTTTCTTTCTCTTTGTCTGAAGCTCCTCAAACGGAGATTTTTTAAAGGCTCTCAGTAACCAGTATCCCCCATCTTCACAAATTAACTCTTAACCCTCATCAATTAGCTCATTAGTGGGGTGTTCGTTTCAACACCGCATTAAAAAGTGGCTCAACAAAGAAATATACATGTCAAATTGAACAGGGATTTAACTCAAATTATGCAGTCTACCAATAACATGAAATCAACTGGTTAGTTGTGAATGTTAGAATGCAAATTATAAATGTTCTTATGTTTATATTTTTCTTATAATTAAGGTCCATATTCATATTAACTGACTGACACATACATCAATATGCAAATTAGGGGAAAGATGTGGGAAAATACACCAGTATAAAGGAAGTGAATATGAAATAGGGGTTTTAGAGTAATAAACAAATGAAGTGACGTGCTGAGTGACGGACGAGAGCAGATATAATAATCGTATAGTTTGAAGCTGCAGACAGAAACATCAGACTCAAGACAGAAACACATGACCTCTAAAGTAAGAACAACTCACATGTTTATTCTTTAACCATAAACCATGAATCCTGTTACACTGATAAGATGCTTGTTAAAATATCATGTTTTATTCCAAGATGAATAAGAGAGTCTTTCTTCCTCAGAAATGGACCAAACGTTGTATTCATTCTTCTTCTCATTGGTGAGTGTGTTTGTGATGTTATTTATGGTTTCTAGTTTCATTAGGTTTGATCCTGTTATGAAAAGCATTAAAGCAAAGTTTCTCTTTCACAGCTCTCTGCTCCGTATCTGAATGTGTTCAGAGTCAGTATCACTTTATAAATGAGAACAAGACCTGGACTGAAGCTCAGAGACACTGCAGAGAGAAATACACAGATCTGGCCACTGTTGACAACATGAACGACATGAACGAGCTGAAGAAGAGTGTGAATGGTGGAGGTTTTCAGTTTGTCTGGATTGGGCTGCAGAAGACGGGTCGTGATGAATGGCAGTGGTCTTCAGGTGAACCTGCGCTCTATCTGAACTGGGCTACTGGACCACCAGAAAACAGAGATTATTGTGCTATGATGTTAAATGGAGAGTGGCATTGTGACGAGTGGGGGCGGGGCCGAGAGCCGTGGGAACGGAGCGAGGCCGGTGGAGTAATTGATAATGAGCGACACCTGCACCACTCACCGGTCTCGAGTCTCACGGAGGAGCTCCAGAAGGATAAAAGGGAGGAGTGACGACAGTGTCGGACGAGAGAGGACCAGGCCTGGAGTTTGTTTTGTGTTTTGTGTGCGGCAGTCGTCCGCGAGGGGCTGCCGCTTTACTTTACTTTCGTTTTGTGTTTGTTTATTTGATTAAAATCTTTAAATGTTCGCCGGTTCCCACCTCCTCCTTCCCGTGACTACAAACGTTTGTTACAGGCATGATTTGCCATGTAGTGATAACCGGCATTTCATCTGCAACAACAGTGAGTGCAGCTATTTAAAATCAATTTATATAAATCCAACAGCCATTCATTTATAGATGTGCATATACCAAATTTTAATGCAATACTGACCCCTATTTTAATTTGAATGTGAATATAGAAGTGACTGTATATTTGTCACACATTCATTGTTAATACAATTTCTGTATAGACGCAATATTTTCCAGAGAATAAAAGACTTCACACTATGGGGTAATTTGTCCCAATGGGAACCTGTAGTTCAGGTGACTACAGAGAAAAAAATCACAGAGAGAAAGAGAGATTGATATGCATCTACTTGTTAATAATCATAATAATCCTCTGATAATAACTGTAATGTTCATAAGAAATATATACAGCAGTGACTACAGGTCATAGAGTTTATTTCAGTCTTAAGTATCTCAATACAAACCTGTAATAGCTTAGCTTTACTCGTACATGAACTCAAGTCTAGTTCATGATAGTCCATTCAAACAAATAATTTATTAACTCTAACTTAACTAATTATAATTACTATAAATTAACCAATTTATAAATTAGTAATCTACAGTCCAAGTAAATGTTTCTATGGATTAGTTAGTAGCATATTTAGCTGCAGTGTAACATCTTGCTCTGTTTGACGTTTCTCTTTGTGTCTGAATCAAGTATTCATAATGGATCAATAGAGAGAGCTTTATAATCATCACAATGTTCCCCAGTGTTACTTCATGTTAGATCTTTAAAACAATCCTGAAAATATTGTGAATATTCAGTATATCACCAGCTGTAGAAGCAGCTTGAGTCTTTGAGTGACGTGTTTCTGATGTTTCCACCGCTGCTCCTGTTCACATCCAAACCATAAAGCAGCATAAGAATAATGAACAAACTGATTCATGAATCTTTGTCCACTTGTTTTTCTTAAAGCGAACACAGGACTCGTCTTTGTTAATCAGACGATGAACTGGAGAGACGCTCAGAGTTACTGCAGACAGAATCACATTGATCTGGTCAGTGTGAGAAACCAGGATGAGAATCAACAGGTTGAGAAGATCATTAGTGATAATAACTCATCTGGATCATATGTTTGGATCGGTCTGTTCAGAGACTCATGGCAGTGGTCAGATCAGAGTAACTCCTCATTCAGATACTGGAA